ATGAAGATAAATTCATATAAAGCAATTTAAGTTTCAATTCTAAATCTTTTTGTAAATTACATATAGTGAAGATAACAAATACGGGACAGACTGCACTTTCGATTTCGGACATTATAAAGACAGAAAACCATGCTTAAATGCAAACGGAACTTGTATTAATGGATGTGACACTGAGTGGAGCATAACATTCCGGAATTAATATCTACCATGGGGCTTTTTGAGTTACCTTAAATAAAACTAAAGTGACATCTTCAATAAAAATTTTTCAAGTAATGTACCACACCGATAAAAAAAATATGGGTTAAGTGTAAAATAATTCAGATTTGAGTTAATTAGATAAAGTTAAAGGGGGGGGGCACGGTACTATGCTTAAGTGGACATATTCTTTAGAATAGCTGCTACCATCATCATAATAACTATGCATTTATGTTTTCTATGGTTCTTCATGATTTAATGCATTGGCCCCAACACAGGAATTTTCTCCCCAAAACAGTAACGATTCAGAGTTTATATGCCTACCACACAGTAAAACTATTCCGACACAATAAATGCTGAAGATCTTCGACGATCAATGTTTCAGAACATAAATTTTGTGTAAATGAAATTTTAATCAAATAAATGTACGTACTGTGTTTGAATTTTTAGTGCAGAACACTTATTTATCTCTTGAAAGGGATTTTGTCTTTAATCACCTTTTATTTCGTAGACCTTGGCCCTTTTTTTTTTTTACAATTGCACCATGAGTGTTTTAATAGCATTTAACTAATTACATGCAAATATTAAGTGGAATGTGTCTTTACTTAGAAACACGATCTAGAATTATGTTAAGCATCGTTCATCAAACATCGTACCCTAGTTGATTCATTGATGTATATTGTTGAAGAATTAAGGGCATCCTATATGAAAGATTTCTTTTTTTGCTACTTTTAACTTCTTTTTTAATCTAAACACTAATCGGTGATTTTATCAACTGACAAATATCAAGGAACATTTCAACAAGTATGGACCAGGGATTACTCTGCTCTTCAACGCATGTTTTTAAAAATTTGAATGCAATGTTGGTGCATGAAATTAGCAGGGTTTTATACTTACAACTTCTAAATACGGATTTCGCTGAAATATGGCTGATATATTGCCAATTCGGCGTTAAACAATATACAATCATTCAATCATAAAAAAACTGATCTGATTAAAAATATTATTTTTTTTAAATAATTAGATTTTAACATGAATTTTGTTTCTAGGGTTATCAGGCAAAGGGGGTTAATCAGAGATCATTTGTGATATAAGAGTGCAAAATTATATAATGAAGACATTAATATTGTAAGTACGCTTTGTCCGTGAATTTGATTTATCCGTGTTCATGCTAAAGGCGTTTTATTGTATATTTTCTCGCATATATAAGAGTGTTGGTCAGAGCAAGGAAAATGGCCCCATTTCCCACTAGGGTACTCCATAAAAACGCAGTCCTCTCGCTGTCCGAAATTATTTGGTTCGCCATCTCTCCAGTTGGTAAAATTAAATCCTTCTCTACTCCAATCCCAGATAAATTGACCATCAATTTGTTGATCCGTGGCTCCAATCCAAATGACACAATCTACCCAATTGACTGTACATTGTGCTACAGAATAAGAGTTTTCTTTATGTAAAGCGTATTTCATAAGGTGCATAACACATGAAATTCAGAGAGAGAGAGAGAGAGAGAGAGAGAGAAAGAGAGAGAGAGAGAGAGAGAGAAAGAGAGAGATTTCGTATTGGAAAATATTTTGCTTATCAAATATTTTTAAAAGCTATATCTAACACAATTGCAGAAAATATTAAAATTGGTACCTAGGAAAGTTCATGTTGTGTGATTTTTATCAGAAATGTGCCTTGATTTCTGTTTTGAAAAAATAAATCAAAAATGACAAATACAGAAACTTGGCAAAAATTTGTCTTCTTGTTACAAATGTGAAACCAGTAATTACGACTCAATCCTTTTTTTTGTACAAGAAATGAATTCAGTTTTATTGAAGATGAACTTTTACATCTTTTCTAGAGAAATTTAATTCAGTGGTGAAAAAAGTACATAATCCTATGATATTTTTTTATATCCTGGAGGCCTAGGACCACTCCATGTCGATGAGATTTTAACATATTAATTAACGATAAAAATTTCAATTCTTTAACAGATTGGAAATAAATAAATAAATAACAGGGAAAAAAAGAAAACACATAGTTGGGTTTCTGTTATTTTTTTTAATTATCTCACCTGGTGCTAGACTGTTTCTGATCCATTCATTTTCATTCATTGTGTCTATCGCTACCAAGTACTCACCTCGTCTTTTACAATGATCCTAAAATGTTCAACAATAAAATATACAATATTTCAGTAAGTATTTGTTCTTTTATCATCAGAATATAGAAAATAATGTCTTGTCGCACATTAAAAAATGATCAATTTTTATACACGAAGTTTGATCAGGAAATCAAACATTTTGAATGCAAAAACATACCGTAGCTCTGCTCCAGGTTATCTTTTCTTTGCTTTTAAAGTAGCAGTGGTCTTCATACTGACACCACCCAGGATCACACACTGAAAACCCTTTGGATAAAGATCATAAGTTGTCTTACTATAAATCTTTTGACAAAAGCTTTGACCTCCCTTACGATTGGAAAAATAAACTCTAATTATCAATCTGTAAATTTGAGCCGTTCTTTAGACTTTAAGCTAACTTCTCCATACTTATCAATAGAAAAAGAGTAAATTAATCATAGTCCTTTTTGTACAGTTTCTTTTGCACAACCGATTTGATTTTTCCAGCTCAGTCATATATAACTGTTTTACAAGGATTGATTAAAGTAAATAAAGATACATGTAGAATAAATTTTGTTTAGTTTTATTTTTTGTGATTTAAGGCCCCTCTGGAGAATTTTTCCATTCATATTGTTATAACCTTACTAATCTCTCCCTAAATAATTTCTTAGCTAAAAAACTCCGACATTTCGACTGTTTTCCTCGACTGATGGTCTAGAAAATGTTGGAATACACTGTTAAACAAGACTGTTGCCCGCTGACGTTATTTGGCGTTAAACTGTGTTGTTTTTTTATTTGAAGCAAAAGGAGTATAACAGAACAGTTGTTGACAGTAGTCTCGGGACACAGTCAAATTGTTGTCTGCGTCCTAAAACTTCAAGTAAAAGCATGCAATTGCACACCGGTCCAACAGATTGATTGTTTTCCTCTACCCAATTCAACAAGTGTATATTATTTTTCATGTTATAAAGGATATCTCGACCCGGGTCAGCAAATTATGATACCTTCATTTCATTACATAAATCACTAAGACTAATTAGATCAATTTGATAATCTCATTGTACATGTAGTATCACTCCAGTTCCCCCAGATAGGATTCACAAAAAATTCAACGAATTCGATAATCTCGATCTAATTTCATTTTGTAATCTCATTGTAATACTTACCACTCCAGTATCCCCAGCTAGGGTTAACATGAAGTTCCACCAAATCAGTGTTTTTATTTTCTAGTAGTTTACATGTGCTTTGAAGGTCATTGTAAAAGACACCTGCACATTTCTGATGACGTTCTAAGCACCACAGAGAACATCCGGTTAAACTTATTTCTTCGAACTCATCCATATAAAAACATATTTCCTGGAAGAAAGTTGTTTAGGTATTGTCTCTTCGGGAATGTTCCTTTAGATATTCTCCAACTTGCATGAATAGGAATCATGCAAAAAACAAATACAAAAATTAGGATTTGATTCTTAGCATTCTTCATCATGTTTTTGGAACGTGTGATTTCGCTGGTAATAATATTCTTAGACTTTCCCGGATTCATTCTCAACATATTAAGACTGTACTATTTTTATACATACTACATTCAATTTTAACGCTTTGAAATAATTAAGTAGCACATAAAGGAATAAATAAAGATATTTAAAGGATGTACGTACCTTTCTTGTCACAAAAATCAATTTCACATTTGATTGACGTAAGCAATCGACAACGAATGATGTATTATTTAAACGAATCCTCCGATTTAATAAAAAAAAAAAGTCAGGTAGAAAGACATACTCATTATAAACGATGGATTTGAAGCCATTAAAACATACTCATTAGCAACAGTTGCACTTTCAAGAAATGCTTATCGCTTGGTTTCTTCGATATGAGACCAAAGTACATGTAGGCTTGTTTAAAGCCTTTATGCTTCATTATAATTTCCCAGAGACTTTGTTTCCTTAGAATAAAAGGAAACCAAAAAGAAACACAAACGAAAACAATGAAAAGATCATGTTTTCTTTATTTCTAAGATATCTTAGTGGTATAAAAGACATCGCCGTCTCCGCCACATCCGTTCTGGATGTTTTCCAACTTCATAAAATAAGGGAAAAACTTAAATCTGGAAGCAAGTGGAATTAACAACAGCAATAGTACATACAATATGTCTAAATAATTCTCAAATATGATTTATGATTTATTTAAATGATCATCTTCAAACACAGTTTGCTAAAATAAGATGTAGTATCGCGATGTACTTTTAAGGTGATCACGAGGAAATAAAACATATTGTAAACTGTCATTTTCATTGAAAAATGAAGAAATTCAGTAAATTAATTCAGAGGGGGTATTATGCAATAATTGCAATTCAATGATCTTTAAATAGGTAAGAAATTCGCAAATCGACACTAAGAAATGGCCTTGGTTTCTAGTTTGAAAAGGGAATAAATAAAAGTATTCAAATGTGTTTCGTAAGAATCCAAACGATTCACTAATAATCTTATCAAGTACACTGATAAACCTGTTTTTTGTTCTTTCCGTTTTTTTACTGCTCTCATAACTCTTTAAAACAGCCACTTGAATATTGATTGAGGAAAGAAGCATGATAAATCAAGAACAAGGAAGAATTGTTTATTACTGATACCTTCCGTTATCTCTAATTACCTCTGAGTGACAAAACTACAATGTACTATTTTTTATACCACATCTACAAAAATTATAACGAATTTAAGTCTTCCGTTTTACTTTTTGTTTCAAGCTTTCGGCTCGGCTTTTGCAGAAAGAGAAAGTTAAAATGGTGATGTATAGAACGCAATTAGTGTTTGTAATGGTTTATACCGTTGCGGAATGTTTAGGTAATTTTGGTACTTTCTATGTTTCTTTATATTTTATTTTGTCAACAAGATATGATTAATATCTTAGATGTTTGTAAAATATAAAAAAGTAATACGGTTGTATTGTATTTGCTTAAAGATTATTTCAAATGTATGGTTATATAAAATTATTTATTCTATAAATTGTGCCTATATACTCAAACGCAAACAGTTCTTGATAAAACAGTGCATGTAAAGCGGCATCGTGACGTCACAATCAATACCCCAAAAACGTGGAAAGCAACGGTTTCAGCTAGCTGTGATTTGAGCAGAAAAAAGTTACGCAATTCATTCAAAGTATTTTTAAAAGCTTTTAATTAGTGTCTTACATACAGCAAGGAGAACACATGAAAATTATAAACTGTGACCTGAAAATTTATTCATGTTTCTTTGACAGAAATCCTTTTATAAAAATGGCATCGCCATGCAGCTTTCCAGATCTGATTTACTAAAATTATAACTATATTATGAGACAATTATATACATTTTTGTTGGTGGATATGGTATGTTATCAATCAGAAAAAATAAATATGACCAGGATGTCACTGCTTATATTTTTGTAGTGAATAACAAACCATATTTACAAACAAAAGAGTTTATAATTGTTTATTCTAATGTAGCTGTATTTTAAAATACATATTTTTTCTCTTGAACTGATGATGTAGGCAAAATTTTATATACAAACATTAACAAGAGTGAAAACCCTTTGTTTTGACGCCATCAATCAGTGAAGAAGAAAAATACATGCTCCTTAATTGACGTTTTTCATGTAATAAAACTGAATGAAACGCAGATGACGTAGATATCAGTAAAAACATAAAATACATTTATTGCATTAGAATGAAAATGATACTCTACTTTTCCAGTTTTTGCATGGCGATTCAACGTTCGCAAACATCCGAATTACATGCACTGGCTTCTCATACTCATCGCCGGTAAAATTCAGTTTACGACCGGTAAATTTGCATTAGCGGTCGCATTTACAAAACGAAAAAAAAGAAAGTTACTCCAAATACTTCCAATTTTCAATTTTATTTCAAATCAGATGAAAAAGGAAACTATATTATTTCCCTAGGTATTCCTTTTTATTCATGGAATTTTAACTATCCTCCAACTTCGTTTTTTTTTTATTTGTAGAAAACCTTAGTCTCTTGCCAGGTTTAAAATGTAAAGCCTCTCAAAGTTCATCGTATGAACATCCCCCACTCTATCAACCAGACAATGCAGTCGATGGGTACCTGGAAGAGGAGCGAGAGGATACCTGTAGCTTTACTTTAGCATCATATGGTATAAGGGAAGCCTGGTGGAAACTAACATTAATGCAGATGTCAAACGTTGCCTATTTGGAAATTTATTTCCGAAATTCTAGTAAGTTGGTTTCTTTTATTCAGAAAGAGGAAGAAGGCATGGTTTTAGATTTAGTGTGCCCTAAAAAAGAGTTTTGAGAAAGTTTTGAAACTGGCTTAAATATTAGTGAAATATACATCTATGATTGTAATAAATAAGAAAAGAAAATGGCATGAAGGAGTACCATTCTGAAACTATGAAATTGTAATTAATTTGATGCATGTCTCTATTTTAAAGAGAAAAAGTATCAGAATGACTTATTTCAAGCCATTAGGGTTATTTTCCTCATTTTAAGTGCTATTTTCCTTTAGAAAAAAGGAACCACGGTCGTCGCCCACTTGCGTTTTTGGACATGCTGTGTGATATTCTTTGAAAAATCATATTATCTTAAGATCTTTGTGGGCGATGCATGTAGACAATATTAACCAAAAGAAAATTTCATTGAGAAGAAATATGCACGCTAACTTTTGATTCCCGCCTACATTGTGCAACCACCTAATTTCTATATAAATGGCAATTTGACCATAAATTCTTTGTTTATTACAAAGAACATTTCAATGGAAATTCAGGAATTGTCTTACCACCAGCGCTAAATAGTAAATTATCCATCACTCCAGCTCTTGCAAAAAGGAAGTTGACGAAATGTTCCATTGAAATCGGACTTTCAAGCATCACGATATTTTGAAATAATCTTGCATATGATTAAACGTTCCATATATCTTTCTTATGTTTTAGCAAATAAATAAAACATATATAAATATATTAATACAATTCTATGTTTGACTTGTAAATCGCTTTGAAATTTGTGGAAAATAAGCATTTTTGTCGTTTTTTTTTTGGTCAATGAACATATCCCCCCCCCCCCCCGGGACACACGAAAAGCTTTGGTATGAATTTGTGAAATAGCCGTTCATATTGCATGTACCTTAAATGAGAATTTTTGTGTCACAGGGGGAATGTTTTAAAAATATTTCTATAGTGAAAAACACAAGTTTTACCAAAAGTTTAGATTTATCTCTCTTTGTCTTCCAAAAAAGTAATGTTTTATGAAAATCAATATAATTACCTATAAAAAAAGCTATTACAAATTCATCGAATATATTAACTTTTAAAAATTGACTTGGAGGTAGGCGGGAGAACATTATTGTCATTCGCACTTCTTTTGTCTTTTAAAAGATTTTAAGGAAATACTGGAAAATGCACTAGTTTATGACGTCACAATTACATGTAGCATTGAGAGAGTCATGCAAAAACTTATTCGTATGATCTTCATATATAGAAATTCAAAAAATTCAAAAAGTATGTTTCATTATTTTTTTAACATCACCTTTAATTTAAAGAAAAACACAGGGCAAGATCTGTATTGAAACCATATCTTGTTCTCAAGAAGAATACAATTATACCATCTCTATTGTAAAGTTTTTATTTTCTATATTCCGGATTCTGTCATGCCTCCAGTTAAGATTTTCGTGTTACAAAATCCTTTACCTCGTGTCACGTGATCATTGTTTACTGTATTTTTAGAAGGGAGAAGATTATGACCATGTTTTTTAGTCAAGTCCCATCTTTTTTTGCTAATTTTAGTTATGTGTGTTTTATTGTGTACATACTTACAGAGTTCTATATGCATTGTTGTTCTATATTAATTAGGGCAAATTTAAGATATGCATTTCATTTTTTTTGTATGTACCTTTTGGGTTGTTTTTAATTTTTTTATTGTGACAGGTGTAACATTATTTAATATCAAACAATACTACTGTATATTTCATTGGCATTTGTAATAAATGCTCTTTTCAAATCAAATATTTGTTGATATCATTTTTGGCAAAAAACAGGGCAGAGTAGATTCTGGCAGCAAAATGAGGATTGGTACCTGAAGTAAAAATAGACGATAGTATAATTGTATTTATGTGAAGCATAAAGTATTTTTTGTTGCTTATATCCCGGTTAATCAATCTATACATGTAAACATGAATTCTAAAATGTCGATTGATACTAGTGCTTTGAGACATTCAAATTTTGTGACTTTCATGTAGCAGACTTTTTTTAAAACATAATTAAAAGAGTATTGGAATTTTAGGAATAAAATGTGAAAAAGGAAAGATGAATTAAATATTTCTATCATTTCAGCAGTGAATAGGCATATTGGATTTTCCATGTACTTATTCAATGATTCATCATATGTACCTCCTTCACGCTCTGGAATTAAAGCATTTACCCAAAATCCATCCTCCTGTCCCGAACAAGTGATGAATATTACTGTTAATCACCTGACTCTGGGAATAGCTTTGTACAACTCAAAAAATCCTCCGGTGACCACCGATTGTGAGTCTTATGAACCGGGTTTTGCAACCATTGAAATATGTGAAGTGAAAATGATGGGTATGTACTTTAAGTTAGAATTTCTTTGCTTAAAAACATTTTTATTTCATTCATATTTACGCAGTCCATTGAATTTCAAATTTACAAAAACTTCTATTGTTATATTTAACTGCATAAGCAGAGCTTTTCATATATTTCCTAAAGGCAAGGCGTTAAAGATTTTATGAATCAAAATTAAAAGAAAATATACTTTTTAGACAAAAATAACATTTAAAAAGTTTGAGTTAAAGATGCATCCGATGTATTCCTACATCATAGGCGTCGGAACCGGGGGTGGGGGCTAAGCTCCAGACTTTTTTTTTTCAAAAACAACCATAATATTGGCAATGAAAATTGGGGTTTACCTTTCTTGTTGGTTTAGTCCTCCCCCCCTTTCAATTAGCCCTCCCCCCTTCAAATAGCTTCCGACGCCTATTTGCATTGTAAGAATAACAAGCATTTGAGCTTGATGTTTTAAAATTGTACTTTTAATTAATTAATCATGTTAAGGTTGCCTATCACACCATTACGGCGAGACATGCGCGCCCTGTGATCTGAGATGTCGCAATAGACAGTGCGATGCATTTAATGGTTCGTGTATCTATGGATGCAGCAACACATTTATGGAAGGGTCAAACTGTTGTAAGAAAAAAAATGACTTTTTTATATTCTAATTTCTGTAATAAAAAAGAATGATCAGCTACAAGAGACTTAAAATCATGTACACATAATATTTGACATCGATGTAAATATTATGCATGGTGGTACATTTCTGCTAAAAACAAGCAAGAGTATTCACGTATGCTAATATTTAAGATGTTGAATGTTAAAATAATTACAAGTGTGTGCAAATGTACATGCAACTTATTTCTTTCATAATAATTGAGCTGCATTGCAAGTACAAAAAAAAATATAATCGTTTGTAAGTACTTATGCTATAAAATGAAACCATGCAAAAATTGCAATTGGAATATGTTGACACAAGACTGTGTTATGTTAACATGCCAAGATATTATGTGATTTTCTTATGCATTATACAAAATAATTATGTAAATATGTGCGTTTATTTTGCTAAAATACGCAACATGCAAACTGAAATGCAGAAACGAATAGAGAAACGAATTAGGTCAACATGTCTCGATTACGCTGTTCTATTTAACGCCGGGGGAAAATGTGTTTGCTTACCTTTGTATGGAATGCAGACGATTTGAGCTTTCGTTGCATTAAAAATAGCCTTTTGAAATTACAAATTTGTTCGTAATATGTATTGATTAGTTTTAATGAATATACAATAACAAAATCATGTTCCTGTTTAACTGCTCTATTGGGACTAAAATCATGTTGTTTAAATGCAGTTTTTTTTTTTTTTTGGACGTTGTTTAATATTAAGCTTATTTATTTAATTTTCAATGTATGGTGCGTAGCATTTACCCCCGGGAAAAATGTTCAAAGACAACACAGTATCAGTGATTAGAAATCAATGTAAATTACTTCAAGAGAAAATACATCTAAATAACACGTTCAGTTAATTTATCTTGGCCTTTTAAATTGTTGATAATACTTGAATTGATTACAGATTGAGTAATATTGTGTAAATTTCTATTTTTTAGAATTTAGATCTAAGGACAGATCACTCCAACTACAGAAAAATACCTTAGAATCAGAACTCTTTATTGTGCAGTGTAGAGAGGGTTCTTAAATGTGTAGGGTGGTCCGTGGAACACATGTACCCTGCTTAGCTATAAAAATCAAAATTCATCAGCAACTTTAGCAATTTAGAGTGTTTATCCTGCAAAAGATGACACATAGATGTGGTCTAAACAAGTATTTCATTCTACAGCCAAATATACATTTGAATTGTTCAGGTTTGATACTTGTTTCTGATCTGATATTTTTTTTATGACGTTTCTGATTTATTGGAGAAAAATGTCTGCGGTATTTCTTTGATCTCTGCAATAATTGTGGTAGAATACAGTATAACTTACATGGTGACATAAGTTTAGAACTAAGTTGACATTAATAACTTGCACATTAACATAGTTTTGGACATGGCTATTTTTGTAAATAATAAGCATTTGAACATAAATAAATAGCATGCTGATATTATTTATAAGAACACAACTAAATCGCATATAAACATGTTTACAGATTTAAAACTTAATGGGTTTTGCGTGTAAAGAGGGGTGGTTGGGCAGAAATATGCCATTATGGTAACTGTATGTGTAGTTTGGAAAAACGTACCTGTATATAACTATGCAAATCACAGCTAGAAAAAATATAATTATCACAGCATCTTAAAAAATAATAAAAACAAATTATGAAAGAGCATGGGTATTATTTTCTTTAATACATAATTTTTATATATTTTTTTGAATTTTTACTTTTGATATGACTTTTTTTCATTCTCAGCATGTATAAGAGGACATTACGGAGAATATTGTAACAAGATATGTGGACATTGCTTGATAGGGACAATCTGTGATAGTTGAACAGGATTATGTCCTAGGGGGTGTAAGACACACTGGACTGGTCCAAAATGTGATAGTATGTATAGGGACTAAGGAAAAGAATACTGTTTTTAAAGATTGTAGTATATTTCTTGTTGTGAGTATAAATTAATATAAAATGATTTACAGTACGTATTGGTCGTTACTCTAAACTTCGTTGATAATTTGAGAAGGAATTTTCCATAAATGGATTTTAATAAAAAATGTCCTTATTTTACACTAAATTTGAATAGAAACACTCGATCTGCAGCAGAGAGTATAGTATAAAGTCCAAGATTTTCTAGAATCTCTTCATAACATTTGTCATTTTTAATATGCATTTCTAAATAGGGAATCTGCATTATTGCTTTTCCTTATAAAGTACTAGTGTAACCGAATCAGCAAAGATGCATGCATTATAAGTTTCATTTCTAAAGCCTTTCTAAATTTCAGAGTGCGAAGACAAAAAATACGGTACAGACTTTACTTTTGATTGCGGACATTGTAAAGACATGAAACCATGTTTAAAGGCAAACGGAACTTGTATAAATGGATGTGAGTCTGGATGGAGCGGCCATGCTTGTTCAGAAGGTTAGTTCTAAATACGCATTAAAGATTCGATATATAAAGACTTGTATATCAGTAATAATCTCAAATTGAAAATAAGAAAAAAGATATATAGTATTTATTTTGGATAATTAGTTTGATAGCCAGAATATATCTCTGAGTGATAAATTTTAAGAACATGTATTGTTTGATTCATCAATATCTCAACTTCCAATTAGTTGTCAAAGAAATCGAATGGACATATATAAATAACATTTCACGATGTATATATTTCACTTAACAATACATGTAATAATAATCTTTGGAGGATTATTTTTTTAAATTATATTATAATGCAGATCTTTATACAGCTAAAGGTGCTTCTAATTATATTCTACAATCATGTTTGGTGTTTGTTTACAACTGAGGATAGCGTTTATGTATCTTGATCCAAAGCATATACAAAAATAATGTTATTTTATTTTATTAGGATTTCATTAATGTTTTACACGTAATTCATGATCATTTTTTTTACTACAGGTGATTGGTTTTTGAAGACTCCTTCAATTATAACACTTACAGTTTCAACACTTTTGGCGCTAACAATACTGTGCATGTTTATGAGAATAGTCTGCAAACGCAGGAAAAGATGCTGCAAGCGTAAAGAAAGGGCAGAAGACTTTACTGATTTATCCTCAAATTTTGAAAACAAGGGTTATATTCAAACTTCTGTCCCACACGAGGATCATGGCTATAATAACATGAAATCTAAAATAAAAAGTTACGAAAACATGGATATGCAAATTTATCAAAACCCTTGATTTTATATCTCATGCACAATTCTCTGGGATTACGCTTCCAATATATGAAAAATGTTATGTTATGCAAGAATGATAAGAAGTGTAATGTCTTATTTATTCCTTTGCAATGGAGTTTGAGGGCATATAGTATTGTTATTCTATCGTTTGTGTTCGTTAATGAGTGAATGGTCAATGTAATTTGATTTAATATCGGGATTTAAAATGTTTGAAGAATTTAAATATTATGGAGTTCAGATGACAAATACTGTCTTTTTATTGACAATAGGGTAACATGCAATGCACTCACTGTTGGAATCTTCTACTTACAATATTGGCAAAAAGAAAATCGTGTACAAGTCAACGTCGGAATACACCAAAACCATGTGTATCTCAAATTTTCCCTTGGCCCTATAGTTTTCGAGATATAAGGTTTTGAGTGTATTTAAAGTTTTGTGTGTCATTTTTTTTTATATCAAATGATATAAGAGAATATTAGTTTCAGTAAATTATGTTAATTAAACTTCATGTCTCATTTCTATTTTTTTTTTTTGTGTTCGTTATTAATAAATAAGGAAATGAATACAATGAATGGATATCATCGGGGCGACAATCAGCAATACGAGTACATCCCGAATGGAAACGGATATTTATATTTTTGCATATTTATTAATGAATAATTCTCGTAGATAATGATATGATGCAGAATAACACGCTTATCCCGTGTGAAAATCATGAAGTAATATATATATGACGGTTGTTAGCTTTGTGTAAAGTTGCAAGCAGGAAAGGATGAATCAAGTCACTATTTATTCTTGCTGAATATTTACATTTGCAATATCTGCAGAACTGTAGCTCCCCGAAAAAAAATATACACTGATAGACCGGAGAGCTACAGCGTCACTCATTGTAAAAACTATATATTTATTGCGCATAAAAAATGCGCTGTTTCTCGATTTATTTCTCCATGCCGTATAATTGTTTTTGATAGCCCTTCTGGCCCTGAAATTGAACTGAGATCATCGAACATATCGCCTATTTATACTGTCATTTTAGTTTGCAAGATAATTCGGTCCAGTGCGCATGGTACAGTTGTAAACTACGAGAGTAATTGATAGAGAAGTACGAACTTTATGAGTCTTTTTTTTTTTGCAATTGAGTTAAGAATTTGGAAGAAGTAATCCAGAACCGAGAGCACTTTTTTGAGCGCAATAAATATATTTTTTCAATTGGTGGCGCTTGCTTCCCGGTGTGATCAAATCCAGGATTAAACCACATATCAAACATATAGTTACATCTCGATTTTAATATAACATGAAACAGTATTTATCGCAAACAAATGTTTCTTCCTTGAAAGTGAATTAAAGATGAAACAATGACATGAGATTAAATTAAGAATGAATCTAAAAAAAATAAATAAAGATAAAAGCGTTTTTGTAACACGGAATGCTATCAGTATACATTGACATATCATTAACGCCGTAGTTTTAGTAAAAAGATGTTGCTTATGATGGAAGCTTTATTAATCGGGACCCTATTGGTTTCACCTTCTGAAAGCCTAAGTATTTAGATTTTTTTTTTTGCTTACATGTTTGCCGTTGTATAGTGCTATTGTATTATCATTTATACTTTTATAATGTTAAAGGGAGCATCCTGCTTTTAATGTTATATTCCTTTTTACTTAAAGTGCTATCTATGTCGCAAAGTCTTTTTTTCTTATATAGCAAGAAAGGGAAGAAATGGAACATGAATCGGTCCATAACAAATCTCAAAAAGTGCAAAATAGGCCTCATTACTATTTTCATACGTTTGGTCAAGTACCCAAGATGAGTAAGTCTATGGCAAGCCCTTTTACTATTTATTCGTGAAATAAAAATTTTCTCTCAATAAGAGAGATATCTTTCTAACTTTAAGAGATATCTCTTTAGCTTATAGAGATATCTCTTTGACTAAAAGAGATATCTTTATACCTCAGAGACATATCTCTTTAAACAAAAGAGATATCTCTTTTTGTGAGAGAGATATCTCTTTCACTTAGATAGACATCTTTATAAACCAGAGAGATATCTCTTTAAGCGAGAGAGATATCTCTTAAAGTTAGAGAGATATCTCTTTAACGAAGTTAAAAGAGATATCTTTCTTAGTTAGAGAGATATCTCTTTAGATTTTCAAAAGGAGATATCTTTATAAGCTAAAGAGATATCTCTTTTATTGAAAGAGATATCTCTTTTCCAGTGATGCTTAAAATAGAATAATTAATTCTCCACTTTAAAACGAAAGTGAAACAGGAAGTAAAGTCTCTGGAATAGTTTCGATGTTTTAAGAAACAAGGCTGAGCAATTAGAAATTACCCAGAATAATACATGCACTGAAGACAAAAATGCTATAAATCCTTTACTTGAAACAACAAACAATAATAGTAACTTCGTCGATAAAATTGCTAAAAGGTTAATATTCAAGAAAACGAAAGTAAGCATATATAATATCAAATGCAATGGACCGAATTTTCTCAGCTTATGAAATAATCAACTATTTCTAATTTGAGTATTTCCGTCAATAAAAACCTTACTTCCGGTAAGGGAGAAGTCATTTGAATTGGAATTTAAATAAAAAAATTTGAAAAGAGATATCTTTTTGCAACAAAGAGATATCTCTTTTTGCTTAGAGATATCTCTTTTAGACACTTTTGAAAGATATCTCTTCATTTTAAAGAGATATCTCTTAAGATAAACTGAGAAAGATATCTCTTTTACTTAAAGAGATATCTCTTTAGCTAGGAAAGATATCTCCAAAACTCAGAGATATCTCTCTAGGTGAAAGAGATATCTCTTTAACGTGTAGGGATATCTCTTTTCACGAAAGAGATATCTCTAAAGGAGAAAGAGATATCTTTTCAAGTGGAAGAGATATCTCTCTAATAAAAAGAGATATATCTCTAAGTATAAGAGATATCTTTCTAAGTTTAAGAGATATCTCTTTCTCATAGAGATATCTCTTAAAAATGAGAGATATCTCTTTAAGTTGAGAGATATCTATATTTTTTTAAGAGATATCTCCCTAAAATGAAAGATATCTCTGTAATTTTAAGATAAATTCTATTTTCCGAATAAATAGTAAAAGGGCTTGCCATAGTAAGTCTCCCTCCCTTCTTGACCGGATAATGCCGCAATGAACTGTATTTCTAAACAGGTGTCGCATTTAGTAATAAAACAACGACCTAACAATTCATATGAATAATGATCGCTAATGTAAGACCAATTGATGTGCTATTTTTGCAGAAAAGGTCATTTTTACAACCAGGAAAGTTTAAGAAAGCTGGTTTTAAGACGGTTTTTGAAATTCATTTGACACACAAATTCAGGTAAATCAAATCGACATAAAAATGGAATAAAAAATTCTTCGTTGATAAATTGTAAATTGACATATTTGAAAGATCATCGCGAATTGAAAGCCAAATAAATTGTTTTATCTATGCCCTGAGGAAATTTAATGAATTCATTCTGATTAAAGAAAAACAAGATCGGATCAGCTGAAGGATTTATTGATTGAATATTTACGCCTAGTCGGCAATATTAATATTGTTCAAAAATCTGCTTTGCATTTAGGATTATCAAAATGTGAATAAAATGTGACTATAATTGGCTATTGAACAGTTTATATAACAATTTTTACTACACATAAGTTAATCTCTTAGATGATAATATAAAACCGATTTAGATAGCTTTTGAGTCTTTACGACGATTTTTTTTTCTTTGACCTAATCATGTTTTTAGATAAAATAATTTTGAAAAATCTCTCAAAGGCCTTGATTACTTTTACAAGTATCTCCTTTATCCTTTAAATGATAAATACACAGGTTTGAAACGGACATTTCCTTTTCTAATCATCCATAGGGAAGGGAAATACATCCGATCAAAGTACAACACATTGAAACAATGATAATGGTTTATTGTAAATAAAAAATAAAATAGAATTCTTATTTCCTCATGATAAAAAAATTCAGTCAAACTTAATGCAAGATATGTATCTAAAAATTTTTGAACTTTTTTTTACCACGATTTTTCCCTTCTAATCTATATCATCATATATGTATTGTACACATTTACCATTCAAGCTGAAATACAAATACTTGAACATGAATCGCCGTTGTTATACCATAAAACGAACTAAGAAAATAAAGCTAGATGTACATGCAAGTATAATTAAAAACAGATTAAAATGTGTTTTATTTTCGAATTAAACTGTTGACTAAACTGCTAATGAATAAAGTGGTAGACAAAATAACTTTCCAAATATCATTTTCATATTTATGTTAGAAATATATGAGTGCGGAGTCCTATCTCTATTGTTTTCACATGTTATTCAATTTCAGTCTTACTTCCCTGAGGATAAATGCATTAACTTTAGTATAGGATAAAAAAAGCGGACAACAATAAAACTTTTTTTCTCCATTTCTAATGTCATCAAAATTCAAAACGTGCATCTTTTGAATCCCAGTTCTTAATAAATAACCATATAATTTCTGTTTCGTATATTTTTTACACATCAAATTTTCTTTATAATAGATCTAAATTAAAAAAGCTTTTTAAAAATTAGGTGTATAGTTGACACACGGGGAATTTTATTTTTCCTTTTTAGTAAACCTTGCTCGACTTTGGCAATACAGAGGGTCGCCTTCCATGAGCTCCGGTTACATAAATAAATGGGATTCATATAAAGCTATAGATGGTCAAGTAAATCCAGGAAAAAATGAAGAAAGCTGTAGCATTACCAGTAGATCGGATAACACAGCAGCTTGGTGGAAATTGCCACATTATGTGTAATCTAGCATACTTAGAAATCCACTTCAGAAACTCAAGTATGTATATTTTTTTTATCTTTGATTACAGACTGAATTCTTCAATTTTTTTCTTTTTAAGTTTTAGTATTTTCCTCGTGAAATAAAAATCCATAGCGCAGCACAGTTAAGGTTAAAGTAAGGAGGAGGGGCCTAATTTGTACGGGAAATGTTTACTATGACGTCACACATAATATAAGGTCTTCAAAATACCACAAAATAAAATTATTTGCTATTTCAATCAGCTAGATAGCTGTATACTACAAACAAACTTACTATTACTATTACTTACTATTTGTCGTTTGTTAAATCCCACACAACAGTATATAAACGATGCATCGATCTCAGTGCACTTCTCAATGTAACGTCATCTCGCAAAAATGCCGCAGTTTGTTCACAGTAAGAGGCTGATCAAGTCACATTTTGTGCGATTAAAAATGTCTTTTTTTCTCAAATAAGATATTATTTGCAATTAAATAAAAGGCTGTTAACTTGGATGAGATGTCTGTTTTAGTATTTTATTGATAAAATGTCCGTACATTCTCCAGACAAGTGATAATGTCGTGTGTTTGTAAGCAGATGTATTTAAAAAGTAATGGAAGGGCCCTAATAAATCGACTTATTGCAAGGGTATACCCTCAATGTATCTTGCCAAGCTTTTACACATAAACTCAAGAAGCATAAAGATATTTTAAAAGTGCTACGAACCTCTTGAAAATTAATAAAAGCTATATTAAATGTAGTTGAACAGCAGAATACTCAACCTGCCGTCCAACAAATTAAATTTTAGCAATTAAAAAAAGGATTGTATATAGGTTCGCAGCACTTTTCACAAACTACATATAGTGTTGAAAAGGATTATAAATTAAACTAAGATTTTTTACTTGGTTATGCCCTTGCAATATTTGAATTTATAGATGACCTCTAAACTGCAGGTATAATTGCTTAAATTATGTGACGTCGACATCACGTGACAAGTCTAAATAAAAAATCTAAATGTCCTAAACATGTAGATTTAAACCACATTACATTTTTTTGATATCAGAGAAGTCCTAAAAAGAATCGTCCATCCTAATAAAGTATGTATTTTTAAATTTCCAAAGCGCCGATATTTCCGTTTGTAACCTTACACATGTAACTGTGCTGCGATCTAACTACAAAACATTGATTATCCTCTCTCTATCTGATTAATTTATAAATGTTTTCCAGCTGTGAAGAGACATACGGGTTTTTCGGTTTATGTGTTCAATGACTCCTCATTTATCCCCCCATCTTATGGCGCCGGATTGAAAATATTTACCCAGAATTCCTCCAATTGTCCTTCTCAAGTGATGAATGTAAAAATAGACGGGGAGGCGAAAGGAGTGGCATTGGTTGTTTCTAAGGATCCGCCACTTAATACAACTTGTGTGGGTTATGAACCTGACTTTGCTTCCATTGAAATCTGTGAGGTCCTAGTATTGGGTTTGTACACATTAGTTATTGATTGTTTGTTATTTGAGAGTTTTTCTCATTAAGACGTATTTCTTCTCTGGCTCTATTGCTTTTATTGTTAATAATTTTTTTATATTTGAAAGGTTGCCAGGCTGGCCATTTTGGCAAATACTGTGAATTCTGTGACAGTAAATGCGCGGGAGGACATTGTGATGAGTTTAATGGATCTTGTACAATTGGATGTTGTAATTCACTGTTGGAACCTCCAAATTGTAATGGTAGGTTTAACCATAGATCTAAAGCAAATGGTCTAATGAATTGAAGGGCTATGTGTGTTGTTTTTATTTAACACTATTTTTTCTTTGATTCCTTGTGCATGGTTAAGTTTTACATATTTTTTTTTACAAGAGATCGATAAATAAGCAAAAAATAAATATAAAAAGAAAACAAGGATTTAAACGTAAGAATATAAGTCTTTCTACATGGACATTTAAAAAAAGGATAAGTATGTAAACGTTCCATCTGGTTCATATCAGATAAATATATTTTGGGTTTTTTTTTATTTTGAGATATATTGGTCAAATATTTTCCTGTTTTACTTAGAGTGTGTTAAAGGATTTTATGGCCCAGGTTGCTCTCAGACATGTGGGAAATGCACTGCAGGTACCTACTGTAATAAACATACAGGGGATTGTCCAGATGGGTGTCAGGATAATTGGACTGGAGAAAAATGCGATGGTATTCTTCATATGTTCTCAGAGTCACTTTTGCATAGATTCAAAATGCTTCTTTGTTCACGCAGAACGATTTTTTGGGTAGTACCGGGGTATTAAGACGTTCGTTTAATAAGCAAGAAAACCAGGCTTGACTTTTATTCTTGGAAACCATTGTTCTATGCAAATATAATGGAAGTTAAAGATCTAGCTTATCTTGTGAGCCTTCAAAACGGTAGTCTTCATTTTTCGGTAGGAATTTGCTAGATACATGTCACCTCTCTGCTTCAGTGGAAAGAATTTCCAATAGGGCAAATAATACAACAGGTAATGTCGCTGTATACAGCATGCATGTAAAAGAAATTCTCAAAAACCCAACGGAACGTTAAATATGGAAAATACAATGTAAAAACGGAAAAATATTAGAGTTTGGAAAATGGTCCTTGAAGGGGTTAATTTATCTTTCAAATGGTCATTCTTGCTTCGTGCCCTTTTATGATCGGTTAAATTCTACAATCTACGGATAATATGTAAACAAATTGTTGTCCTTTAAAAAAGACTGCAATACGTGGACCATATGTATGTGTTTCTAACCGAAATTTAATTAAAGAAAACTTTTAGGTGCACATGTACTGAATACTATACAGTATTCACGTATGTTTGTTCACATTTTTTACTATGATCTGCCTACTTATGACTGATTGTAGTCTCAAAGCAAAATTTTATTTTATCTCCGATAAGCCTTTAGTTTTCCCAGTTTAAAAAATCGGGCTATTTTGATACATGTTACCCATAATGACTGGGACTTGACACCTGTTCTTGATTTATACGGAAGAAATCTATCATGGGGAAAATAGATCAGTCTGATGATATACGTCTATCACAGCTCTGTAGTACGCAGATTTTTTTTTCGGATCACCCCTTCCCCACATTAAAATACCGTTGCTACAGACCTCTATCAAACGGTATTTGAATTACTGAAATATCAAATTTTTTTGCGAGCTTTGATGCAAAAAACTAACACCGGTGAAATATTGTTCTATCTTTTTAAAGCTTAAACTAGTCGTTGAACGACTTTTTTTTCAAGGCGCGATTTGCCAATGAATGGCACATTCTAATTCGAATATGGCGAATATTTCTACGGGCAAGTTGCCTGAGGGGCAAACTCTCTAGCATTCTCGCGCATGCGTAGACGGTCGTTTGCTCTTTGCATCCGGTTTAACCTCGCTTACATATTTACTGCGTGGACCCAGATACTGCGAGGACCTCAGGGTCCACGCAAAAGTTAATGGTCTTACAATTGATAAAAATCTCTGAATTTGACTTCCGAAAACATCGTAGATGCAAACAACGTAATTGTAATATAATATATCACATAATACTAATAAAGGTATGTTGAAAGTTAATGTTTTTTAAATTCCAAATACCAGATATCATTGTATCAAGTAATTTTTCAATAGCCAGCCATGTGCTTGAAATTAATTGTACGTAGAAAATGCTCTTGTTTATCTAATTAAATAGAATAATTAAACATTTGGCATACCCATGTACGTTTTGTAAAGTCCTGATACATATATTATTTTCTAAGCCTACTATTATTCAGTATAAATTTTACAGTCTGCTCACAAGGATTTTACGGCCCTGACTGTACGAACATGTGTGGTAATTGTAGGAATGGGACATTCTGTGACAACATCACCGGGACCTGCCCTGACGGGTGTCAGGAACATTGGGGCGGATCCAAATGTAACGGTATGTTATCTGTCATGCTAAAAGCCTATGTTAGTTGCATTGACGCATTGAAAATCAACCGTCCCCTGTTGACAATATACATAAATTAAAAAAAAAATTATTCAAGTTTTGATTCGATGCCGACGTTATGTGCAAAGTCATGAAATCCGTTGCTTGTATTGATTCCACAAAGCGTGCAACCATTTTTTACTCTATACCTTTAGAGTGACGACAAAAAGTGATTGACGTGTTTATTCGACTTATATCGTAGATGTTTTGAAATTTCTTTTTTCAGGGGAAAGGGTTGAAATCGCTGCACCTTATTATTTATAATTAATAATTATTCTATAACTGGCAGTCTCAACTAAAATCTTCTTGAATTTCCTGATTTATGCTTATTTATGAGCAATCATCTTTCAGAGTGTCAGGATTATAGATATGGACCAAACTGTGAATTTAACTGTGGCCACTGTATCAACAGAAACCCTTGCTCCAAGCTGAACGGAACGTGTGAAAATGGTTGTAAGGAAGGCTGGAATGGACAATTGTGTTCAAAAGGTTTGATAACGATCGCAACCGCGGACATACATGTAATTTAGTGATTTATCCATTTTTTCGATGAGTTTTTGATGCCAATAATTTATACAACAAAAGTTAATCACACGCAAATATAAGCAAGAAATTTAGCATGTACATATTGATTAAGATCTAAAAACACAGTAAAACAGAAAATTTGACTTTTTTCTAGTATCTTCAAAGGATGTTGTTTCGTGCGCAGGTGAGAAAAATATTAATATTATTCTTCGTTGTTATACATAGTACTACAAAAAGAGAAAAACTGCTGTTGATAAACAAGAGGGTCACTAAAACTTAGATAAATACTGCGGCCACTATAAATCTTTTCAGTTTTTTATAAAGAATATGCTGCTGATACTAAAACTCACTATATCAAAGATTTTGCTCTTTTTCTCCAGTGGTGAATATTCATTTAAAATACGTTAGCTGAAATTCATTTCATTCATCTTTTAGAGATTCGAATTTTAAAAACTTTGCAGCTTTTCTACAATTTTTTCTCCAATATTGAAGAAAAATGAAAATGAAGGTCATAAAATGATTTTTTTTCTTTATCAAGATAGTGGAATTTCACGGATATCAACGGTTATCATCTCGCTCTTGTCAACGCTTTTGATCATCACTCTCATTGCCCTTGGAATCGTGTGTGTATATAGGCAGAGAAGAAAAGCAGACACACAAAGAGGCATTACTGAAACTGAAAATACAATTTATATTCAAAAAAATACGGGGAATTATGATCAACTATGTATAAGATGCGACGGTCACGCATTTGAGTACAACGAAATAGATTCAACACTTAACGAACCTGTTTAAAAGGGTATCAATACTTAAGGAAATACAGAATCTGTTAATAATGAATAACTGAGTGCTTTAAAATGTACAATATTAGAAGAAATGAACATTTAGGAGGAAATTTAGCTTAATTGTAATACATTATCAGAGAGAAGAGAGAGAGATAAAGAGAGAGAGAGAGGTGGTTAAAAATTGAAACATACATCAATATTGTTAAGGCTTTGCTTAATTGATATAAAGAATAATAACCCGCTTACTCCTGTGTTTAAATGCAACGAATACGGAATCAGGGCAAACATGGACCCAATTGGAAAAAAATTATAATCAGGTGTCATTAACGAGGTAGCTTCACCTGCCACATATCATGTCATGATCTTGTTAACCTTCAAAGATTGCGGACATTTCATTTTGTAAATAATGACCTTACGTTTAGTTTGGGAAACGTCAATCAGTACTCAATTTAATTCCGTTTTTTTTCATTTGACATTTTCATCATATCGACATAAATTAAAAGAAAATGACTTGATACGTCCTCCAAAAGAATAATCAAGCATTTAATACTTTTTTCTCTTTTTCAAGTCATGAATGTGTCTCTACCAAACATGGCCTTCTCACTGTTAAATCCGTACTTTCTCCATGAATGACAAACTAAAATAAGTCTTCAACAAAAGTAATTTAATTACAAAGATCATATTATTTCCTATTTCCTATTTAATCTTGTACATGTCATTTATAGGGCCTGTTGAAATTGTTATTCAAATTCATGATGTCAAAATGACGTCAAAATGATGGAATGCTCATTTCAAATATAGAGGTTTTATTTTTTTTTTTGAAGATTTAATTAAAAGAAAATGTATTGCAATAAATAATACTTAAAAAAGAAATCCATCATTTGATTAAAAAAATAGTGTACAGAATATTCTAGTTAAATGGTTATCATTTTTTTTTTAAATTTCTAGTAATCCTGGGAAACTTGAGAATTCCGTTATGTACATGTCAATTCTTTCTCATTACTAAATATTAAAACAATTTCAAGCTTAGATTTACTAAACCTCAATAATGTATTATACGGGGCTATAAATGTCAGTTCTTAATATTTTAAAATGAATGTGATACATGTATATACAGGCAGTTAGAAATGCTATCATACCACCCCCTTCCGTTTTCAAAAGTCAAATAATGCAACTGTTCTTGCATCTTGCTTTTTCCTGAAGAAGGTTGATGATGTATTTTTGTTTGTTTTTACTCTATAATAGTTTAAGAACACATTGTCTTTAAATGGAAATATCCTTCTGTTGCCAATTATCTTAAAAAAAAAATATAAAACATGAAGATAACAAAACATTAAGCACATGAACCTACAACTTCCATCTACTCTACACATTTATAAAATTATTTAGAGTGCAATCTACACAGATATAAAAGTAAGTTCCAATTCACAACAAACAGGAGGAAAAAATACTGGAGAAATAAAATAAAACCAAGGTATTTAAATACGTGTCCAAACTTCCTTGACCAGTGTACGTACTTTAATATTGTTTTAATTTTGACACGTCGTTGTATTCTTTTAGCAAAGGCTCAAGAACACTACAGGAATTACTTCTGAAGGTCTCTTTCTGTATGAAAGAAAATGTCCCAAAAATATTATAAAAGCATTGACTAAAGAACTGAGTTTGTTTTCAATGATTTAATTAATTAATTAATTAAATTAACTAAGTTAACTTAACTTATAACTAATTAATAGTTTGGTATCATGTTGTTTCCTACAGCTGCTGCTGAAGCTGTATTATGAAAGTCCTAAAGCATTATCAAAAACCATAAGGAACATATTCCACAAGCTAATTTTACTTCCTTGAAGCTTAGTAACAATGACGTGAAAAAAGTTGCAATACTATTTGTGTTACTTGAAAACATGCATGTCACTAATTAATATATAACGCAATTAGTGTTTCTGTCGTCATATTTTATACTTAATGTTCCTCTTTAATTAAGCATTCGTATCGCAGTTTATTCTTTGAAGGCTGGAAACATGATAGTCATTTTACTTTCAAACCAAAAAGAAGAAGACATCAGGGAAAGTAATATTTATATAAAATGCTTTTCGCAGCACTTTTTAAATGAAAATAGAATACACATTGTATATTCTTTTGCAGAAATGTATACCATTCTTTGAAGGTTGGAAACATGATAATCATTTTACTTTCAAACCAAAAAGAGGAAGACATCAGGGAAAGTAATATTTATATAAAATGCTTTTCACAGCACTGTTTAAATGAAAATAGAATACACATTGTATATTCCTTTGCAGAAATGTATACCATTCTTTGAAGGTTGGAAACATGATAATCATTTTACTTTCAAACCAAAAAGCAGAAGACATCAGGGAAAGTAATATTTATATAAAATGCTTATCGCAGCACTGTTTAAATGAAAACAGAATACACATTGTACATTACTATGCATAATTGTTCTACCAATGCAAAATAAAGTGTTCTACAAAGAAAAGTAAATGATAAAAAAACTTGAAAGCAAACTACATATAAATTATGGATGGAAGCTGAGAGAAGGATACGGAGATAACGAAGAGTATTCAATCTCAAAGTCCATTAAACAATATACAAAATCAAAGCATTGCAAACACGGACCTCCGAAACATCGGAGGTGGGATCAGGTGCCATGGAGGAGTGAGCATCCCCTGCCGACCGGTCACACCCGCCGTGTGCTCGTTGTCATGATCAGGCAATAACGGACAAAATCCGTCGTCAATTCAGTGTATAAATAATGGACTAACTAAT